TTACTAGAAATCAGTTCGGAGTTTACGAGATGTTTATTGAATAATTTCTCGTAAATTCCGATGCCAGGTTTTTATTGCTCGAAAGACAAACTTTACTTTTTAGAATTTTGTCTATTTGGTAATTTTAAACAAAGGAATGTTATTTTTTTCCAATATGTATCGAGTTTGGACTAATATTATATAGATATAAAATTATATTCTGCAAACAACATAATATGATTAAATATAAAAATTATAATATCGACTCACCCTCGCTTCGCTCGGATTCGTTCCTAGGTTGATTCTCTATACAAACTTTCATCCCCATTTTCGTCCTCTTAAGGGATGATTTCCGGAATAAAAATATCCTATGTCCTTCCCAGGGTCTTAAATTATCTTCTTACCAAAATTCATCTAAATCGGTCCAGTAGTTTTTGAATTTATTCGTTACAAACATACAAAAGTACAAATCTAACTTCTTTATATTAGTAATGTAGATTAAAATTAGACAAAATATCTTTTAGGTCCATTTCCACTAAAATTCTTACATAGTTGAATTTAAATGTCACAAATATGTTAAACAAATAAATTTAGTGCGAGTGCAAATTAGTTTAGTATAATAGTGCAAGGCCACATCATTTCCTACCATAATTATATATATATATATATATATATATATATATATATATATATATATATATATATATATATGTAATACTTATGTCCGTTTGTCTAGGTTTCACAACTCAAAAGTGTAGTCGATACTTGTAACGGGAAGATGGAAAAAATGAGATTATTCAGTTAACAATTATAAAAGTAATAAACTTATTTCAATATTAGAGACAAAACTGATTCCTACAAACTTACAAGATGGTAACAACCGTTAGTCACTTATTGGCAAAATTTAGTCGTCAAACATAATCTATAATAGTTATTATTATTCATGCTTTTATAAAGGGACATAAAATGTGGTCTTAATGTGTTTTGCACTTCCAAATTTACGAGCAGCGCGGCGCACTTGGCAGCCACAGTTCGCCATCGATATTATATGGTCAGCTTTTAAAATATACAATTACGGATATACATTGAAATTACACATATAATTGATTAGTACCTGGGCGACCGAGCTTCGCTCGGTGTTTTTGGCCAAAAAAATTGAATAAATAAAAAAAAACAAAAGTAAAAACTTTGTATCCGAAAAACCTGTAGTTGTCTGACTTGCGCCTTGGCCGCTTGACCGACCATATTTTGCGTGGAATAATGCGAAACAAAACCGTTTTCCCAGGCATAACACTAATCTAGATCGATTTATCGCCCCCGAAACCCCCCGTATACTAAATTTCATGAAAATCGGTGGAGCCGTTTCCAAAATTCAGGTTATATATATATATATATATACAAGAATTGCATGTTTAAAGTTATAAGATAAACAAAACACCACCTATTTATTACTGTACAACTGATGTCCGCGTGGAATAGTAGCAAGAATGTTAGCCGCATTCCCCCGCTGAATGGCAATGCCGATTTTTGGGCGAAACAGCAGCCAGCTCTCTCGTCGCCAGTAGAGGCGATAATACGAGGTGTCATGTCCTATAAGAAGTTTTTCGCACTCCCACAGACTAGACTTCAGGGGCCAAGAGTTTCTGCAGCAAATGGTCTAAAGACAATAAGAAGCTTTTAAAGTATCTATATTATTCCAAGAAACCTTGTATAGGGAGAGAGCGACACCTCATAAACATTACAGAATTAAAATAACGCGACTTGGGTTCATCCAGTATAAAACAACACTCATGTACATATATGTATACATAATAATATAAAATTTACTGGTTGTAAGTAAAATGTTTATGAATAATTTCTGACATCTGAGAGTAGGTGAGTTTGCTGTTTTGTTTGTCTGTTAAACGTAGCTCCCATACTGATTCTATATCCTATAAATATTTTTTTTGTTGGGACATTAACACAATTATAACCATGTAGTTTCATGGTCACTCATGTCTGGAGTACAAACATTTGTGTGATACAAATGCATGCCTCCAGCGGGACTCGAATCCACGACTGCTAGCACAGTAAGTACTACAAATGAGCCAAACGTGTCGTCAAATATGATTTGCTTATATCCTTTGAGTGGGTAAAGAGGACAGAGTGCCAAGGACTACGACCTCTGCATAACTCTTTCGCTTCTTCCATTGTTAACATTCTCTTACAACATACTAAAAGTCCTCTGAGGCCTCCCCCTATTTCACTTTCCATTCTATCTTCCACAGTATTTTTTGCCCATTTTTTGCTTATTCATGCTTTGTACAAATTACATATTTTATATTGACACTAGCATTACCTGCAACTTCGCCCGCGTTCAGGTGACCAAAAACCAAATTCTTAGACTTTACATATTAGTTATACACTTACAATGAAATTTTTGTAATTTTTTCTCAGAAATGACATATTTTCCCGCGGTAAAAAGTATCCTTTATGTTGACCCGGATAACCAGCTATCATCATACCAATTTCCATTAAAATCTGTCCAGTAGTTTTCTCGTGATGCGGTAACAGATAGACAGACAGAAATTCTAAAAACTATAGATTCGGACTCTGTATCGATAATAAGGTCTATTGCAATTAGATTTTCCAAAAAATATTTAATGTACAGATTCGACTTTGTTACAATTTTATTATAAGTATACATTAATTAATTATAGATATTTCACCTTTTAAAACAAAGTCGATGACGTGCATGAATCTTGGTAACATCGTAAAAATTGAATATATAGGTCACCAAGGTATTTAATAGGTAAGAAAAACAAACTTTGGCAAACGCACAATGTTATGCTCGCGTTTCATTACAGTTCATGTAATAATAACTTCATGAGGGCTTCTGTAGGTCAGTGGTAATTGATAGTATGTTAATTTAGCCTATTTTATGGAGAACTAGTGATGTACCTTCGCTTCGCTCATGTTCGTCCCAAGGTAAAGAGAAGCATATCTATCAGTGGCGAACGGTGTAATTTTAGCAGAGGTAAGTTCCAAAAATATACAATTTTATATACGTATTAATGCAGAAAGAAATAAAGCTATTATTATATATTATTATATTTCCAAAAGAACATTTAATTAAACATCTAAAAAATTTAGTGTGTGTAAAATTATAGCAAAATAATTTTAAGGTAAGACGTCTTGTATGGACGCTTCTCTACTGATATCTATATTTTCTTTAGCTTTAACGCTTGAGAAATTATGGATTTCCGATTTATATTTTTACTACAAGGGTTCTATGTATTTGGCTAATATTCAATTTACACAATATCATCTATATCAAAATTTGTGCACCAATTTAGTTGTGAACACGCAAACAAACAAATATATAAACAGACAGTGTTGCTACTGAGCACTACTCGATTTTGAGGCCAGTTTATATATTTTTGAATAATTAGAATCAAGAATGAGTTTTATCCGGTGAATAAAAAATAAGTCTACTTCCGGAAACTATTGCATCGATGATTAATTTATCTATACATATAATAATATTGTAACTAAGCCGAATCTGTTCATTAAATACTTTTTGGAAAATCTTATTGAAATAGACATTATTATCGACACAGAGGCAGAATCTACCTATAGTTTTTTGAATTTATGTGTGTCTGTTTATCTGTGACCGCATCACGCAAAACCACTGGAAAGATTTTGATGTAATTTGGTATGATGAAAGCTGGTTATTCAGGTCAACGCATAGGATACTTTTTACTGCGGGAAAATATCTCATCTCCGAGACATCTATACTAAACGTAAGTAGGGACGAACCCGAGCGGAGCGTGGATGAGTCGCTAGTATAAAATAATATTTCAAAAATATTCATACTAAATACGTTCGAACATAATCCGAGTTATTAATTAATTAAGTTACTGTAAAACAAACGCGAAACAAATTGGTAAAAAAATACGTTGGTTCGTTAAAACGGTATGAAAATAAAATGAATATTGCGAGTCAACAGAGATTAACCTGTTTTTATTATCTTCTAAAACTCTAAAAAAGGAGGTTTCATACAAACTTTCTTCCGCTATTTTACCCCCTTATCCGATGAATTTTGAAAAATGCTAAAACACGTATTAAATTAATTGTATTGAAGAGTAATAATACCAAGTTTCAAGTAATTCTGATCATGAATATTTTATTGGATTGTATTATAACGTGTTTTCCCGTGGGAATGAGATAATCTCCGTAAAAAGAGAGAAAGAGGTAATCTCCGTAAAAAGTAGCCTATGTCACTCTCCTTTCTCCTTTTATGTCGAGAAAAGTCTCGGTACCAGTCTAGACCCTCGGTCTTGCACCTGAGTTTTCTCCTGCCAGTCGTTCCATTTGGCTTTTTTGTTACGAAGTTCTTTATCACACGTTATACGCGGCACGTAATATTTCGACCGTCACGACACTTTTTATTATTTACTGAGAACACTCCATGTGACGACATCATAAGTACGAGGCGAGAGTAAATGTTAATGATAATTGAATTTGTGTAGTAAGTAGTTCGCACTCTTATGACGGAGCCCTATATATAAAATGGATAATCCTTGAGGTTTGCGGTCCTCTAGTACTCGTGACGATTATTGTCATTAGATATGATGGGCTAAAGGCAGCCCATAATATGACATCATCATAAGTACCAAGGGAGCATAAGTGTTAAGGAGTGTATGTAGTAAGAAGTTCGTGTGCACTATATGTATACCTTCCTTCGATAAGCTTCAACATGTACCATCTTCGTTGCTTGATGTTTATGATACCCTAGTACCAGAGGCGGATCTTGAATTTGTGGGGCCCTGGGCTAATACTGCTTAGGGGCCCTACCTAATTACTCAACTAATTGCCATTTTGACAAGAAACTGTTTTCTGTAGTGATGTAGGTATATGTAATGTAATATATGTTAAGTACAGGAAGAAAATAGGAAAACAAAATATTTTATTTATTTATTAAAACATTATTTATTGCAAAATAAATTGACGGGTTATAAATGGTTATGTTAAATAAATTATAAAGCAACCTTTCTGCATTTTTGTGCTGCAAATTCTTTTATTTGGTCATCGCACTGTAGGTCCTTTGTTAAATCGCAATTTATCGAAAGAACTGATAAATGATTTAGTCGATAGTTCGACATTGTTGTCCTGTATTTGTTTTCTATATACGACATCCTGGAGAAAGAACGCTCCGCTTCACAGCTAGTGATCGGCATCGTTAAAAAAATCTTTAAGATAGTATAGCAGTTTGGGAAAACATCAACAAGTTTCTTTTCATAAATTAGCCAAAAAATTTCACTGCAAGAGGTGTAAGACTCTGTCTTAGATTGCAGTAAGTAAGATTTCAACTGAATGCACTCATTCACTAAATGTTCGTCTACGTCATTTGGATAATAATCAATAATATTACGTACACTTTCCAGATCTATGTGTTCTTGATTTTTGTCTTGCAAATCCATTAAAAATTTAAATTTTTTGCTATAGGTCTCATAGGCTTGGCTTCTATTATTTAAATCCATAATCATCTTATCCAACGCAACGTTAAGCGTGTCTCTTTTAAATTTTTCTGCGCAGTTCACTGAGACTTTATCTGTAGATTTATCTGAAAATTTCAAAGTAATGCGTCTCTTATTTATGTCACTGTAGTCTGTTCCCACACTAGTACTTAATTTTTTAGCTTTCTCTTCGTATTCCTTTAGCTTCTGATCTGATTGTTGCCTTATGTTTTTCACGAACTCTTTTAATGACACAATTAACTTATTGCCTTCACCAATGTCTAAACCAGGGCTCTGTACTTTTTTATTAACTACATTAAATCTCTCCAAAATTTCTTCCCAAAAAACAATCAAAATTGCAGTTTCTAGTTTCGCCAGTTTATTAAATAAATTTCGTGCCTCTTTTCGGAAATCAACTTTTTCATCGTCATTTTCGCCGAAACTATTGAGAATTTTCATAATGCCATCATAATTACTTTTCAAAGCTCTGACAGCATCAAAGTGACAAGACCATCTGGTCTGGCTTAAACTTTTTAACGTAAATTTTAGTTTTGTTTCACGATTTAACAGTTCCCACCTATGGGTCGAAGCAGAGAAGAAAACGTATATTTGTTGCACTATTCCAAAAAAATTTACAATTTCGGTTGGAACCTTCACGGATTCTTGACCAACTAGGTTAAGGGAATGCGCAGCACATGGCACGTAATCCGCGGATTTATTTTTTTCTTTTAGTAGTGCTTGTACACCATTGTAGACTCCGGCCATATTAGCAGCGTTGTCATATGACTGTCCCCTGCAATTATCCAGTAGTAGTCCATTTGTTTCCAAAAAGGCTTGTAGAATATTAAATAAATATAAGCCAGTATGACTACTAATTTTAATGAAAGATACACATCTTTCATACACTTTTCCCCGAAAACAGTATCGTAATACAATAGCAAGTTGGTCATCGTGAGACAGATCTGGGGTTGAATCCATCATAATTGAATAATACTTTGTGTCGTCGTTATTTATTTCAGTTATAATTTGTTTAATTATCTGTTTACCCATAATCTCAATTATTTCCTCATATACTGTTTTTGATAAATATGATATTACACAGGGTTTGGTCGCAGCTCTCGTTGTTCAATATGTTCACGTATGAATGGGTCGAATTCTGCCAATAGCTCTAGAGCACCCATAAAATTACCATTATGTGGAGAACCAAATACTTCCTCGGAACCTCTAAGTGCTAAGCCTCTTATACTCAGAAATTTTAGCACTGCAATAACCCGTTTTAGGACATTGTGATAATATTCTGTTTCTTTATTTAATTGCTCCTGAAGCTGCTTGTCTAAAACAGACTTATTTTCTTTTCGTGTCAAACACACTAACATTGAATTCTTATGTTCATTAGAATTTTCGTGATTTTCTAAACAAAATCCTATGTGTTTCCAATCAGAAAATCCGGTTGTGTATTGAGAAGGAGTTTTAGAAAAAAGTTTGCAAGTCAAACAAAAAACAGTACCAACTCTTTTTGAATAACATAACCAAGATCTTTCCAGTAATTGGCCATTTTTCATTTTTCTAGTGAAATACCTATTTGAAAAAGATCTATTTTGTTCTTTATATTTCTTCATTGAAGCTGAATATATATTCTTCGGATCTTTATTTTGAAAGTCAGTCATTTCATGTGAGAGGACGAAATTAATAAAATCATTATTCAGCAAATCTGGCCACAAGCCCACGTCAACATATTTCTCAAACTCAAACTTAATATTTTCTAAATTTCTTTCCACCTCGGTATCGGTATTACCTCCCTTTTGCTGAACACCAATTTCATTTTCAGAGGAACCAGAGGGTTGCTGGAAGTCAAGATATTGCACATTTTCATCGTTGGTATTTTTTTTCTGGTTTTCAAAATCTTGCATATTTTCATCACTTGTATTTTTTTCCTCGTTTTGCGATTTTTTGCTGCCATCGGTTAGATTCTCTTCGCATAAAATACCTTCCTTTACGTTTTTTAATGGATTTATAGCTATTTCATTCGCGTTTATATGTTCCGATTTAAAAAAAGTTTCAATTTTTGCGCATTTATTTCTTTCTTGTTCTCGACTAAACTGTAATTTTCTTTTTTCAGCTCCACTTTTATATTTTCTAGCAGACATATTGTAAAATAAGATATTTTTCTGAAAATAAACAAAGAACTGGATAGAACTTTTAATTTTAATACCTACTTTGTAATGAGTGTAGCAATTCACAAATTATAATTAAATATCGAACGAGTTTGATTCATTTAGTTTTGAAAACTGAAATAAAAAGTCATGTTTTATAATTCTTTTTACTTACCTACTGCCTATTAAAAGCAGGAAGTCTAGTTATGCTGAAGACTTTCAATTTTAGTAAATTAAAAGAAAGGTCCGGTCCTTATAACTTTTAAGTTATCTATTACTTAGTAAACTAAACACACGCACTAAACACATTTCTAACAATAACAAAGTCAATTCGTTAATATAGTCGACTATAGCAGAAGTGCGGAAAAATAACAAAATTGCGTCGGGCGATAAGCGGAGGGAAGTCCCCAGTAATAGACACTACTATACACGGAATACACCGACTGAAAACAAGCGACAGGGAATTCCCCGTTCCATTTGATAGATGCGCACTCGGGTTGATTGATCGCAGTGTTGCCAACCTCATGATCGGATTTTTTAAAATTCTAGATAATTTTTATTATTGACAATATCGTCTATTGGTTTCAGTTCGGTTGGGGGCCCTCTGTATTCGCGGGGCCCTGGGCTGCAGCCCAAAAAGCCTTTAAGTAGATCCGCCCCTGCCTAGTACTTGTGATAATTTTTATAACCTAACTAGCGACTCACCTTCGCTCCGTTCGGGTTCGTCTCTAGGAACGTTTTAACAGTTAGTATAGGTTTTTTAGAGATGAGATATTTTCCTGCAGTAAAAATCCTAAATGTTGACGCGAATAACCAGCTAGCATCATACCAAATTTCTTCAATATCTGTCCAGTGGTTTTCTCGTGATGAGTTCCCAGACAGACAGACAAAAACACTACAAACTATAGATTCGGCTTCTATATTGATTATAATAACTGTTTCAATAAGATTTTCCAAAAAATATTTCAGGTACAGATTCAACTCACTTAGAATTTTATCATATGAATAGATACATTAAAAGCCAAGGGCAAACAGCGAAAGAAACTTCGCAATGGTTAATGCAACTTTGTATTTAGACACGCTTCGTTTTCGTTTAGTCGCGTCTGATCTCGGTTCGTTATCAACTTTTGGCAAGAGCCAAATTTACTTAGATGAATAAACTAATGAGACATACGAGAATATAAACAATTATCTTCGTCATGTCAGAACTGGGCTTCGTCCGAGGCATTTGGCGACGAGTTACGAAGAATGTCTTGGACAGAGTTTAGATGCCGGATGGGATTCATAAAGCATTTAGATTTGGAAAAAGAGGGTTTTTAGATTATGAAAAAAATTTTATAGAAAGTGAGGCTTACCGTAGCTTGTTATCTAATAAATATATAGTATAGCTATACCATATCTTTTACCATAATTATAAGAAGTTCTACCAGTGAATTTATGTAATATAATAATGTCCCAACTTACATATATCCCATGGAGCTACTATGTTTAATTAAAAACATAATTTAAAGTTAGTTGAAAAATTTTAATGGTTTGAAGTTACTAAATGATGTGTGCAGTGTGATTAGAGCTAGAGCGAAGAGGCGAGTCGCTATATATATATATATATATATATATATATATAATATGATTTTATATACATATTTTGAATTTTCTGTCTGTCTTAAATAACAGAAGTGAAATTTTAAGTAAAGATTTCGAGAAAAACACTGTGTCTACGAATAGATACTTTAATAAATTCAGTTTTAGAGGAGCACCTTAGAACAACGCAGAACGAGTTGAAACTTTGCCAAGTTTAAGGAGCAATATTCCAATTGCAAAGAGCGTAACAGAAAAAAATTCCAGCAGTTCTGCTCTTTTTAATCTTTGTTCATATTTTCGTTTAGAAATTAAAAACGGTATTGTTAACAAACTAGCAGCTTCGTAAAAGCTTTTTTTCATTTATACATAAATATACATATAAACTAAAAGTTCTATAAGCAATTTTAAGTGATCAACGGATGAAACACGGGCTTTCATATTGATGATCTATTTTTTTAGTCATATAATATGTACTTACTAGTTTTTATTTAGGTATTAACCAGTTTATATATAACTTTTTATATACTACTAATAGCTCACCCTCGCTTCGCTCGCGTTTGCATCTAGGGAAAACAAAAACAAATCTATCCCACGGGAACCGTACATTTTTCCGGGATAAAAAGTGCCTACGTGCTATTCCAGACTATAGTCTATCTCTGTACCAAATTCTTCCAGATCTGTTCAGATGTTCTGGCGTGATTGAGTAACAAACATTCATCCAAACATCAGAACTTTCACATTTATAATATTAGTAACATGAAAAAATGAATATGTTTATTTGCTTATATATATTTATACTAATATTATAAATGTGAAAGTGTATTTGTTCGTTTGTCTTTCTTTCACGTCGAAACGGAGTGACAGATTAAAATTATTTTTTGTATGGAGATATTTGGAGGGCTGGAGAGTGACATAGGCTACTTGTTACCGCGGCAGATAATCTCATGTCCACGGAAAAACACGTTATAATACAACCTAAAAATTATTAATGATCAGAATTACTTGAAACTTGGTATTAATGCTCTTCAATACAATTAAATAAATATGTGTTTTTGCATTCGAAATTCATCTCATAAGAGGATAAAATAGGGGATGAAAGATTTTATGAAACTTACGTTTTTAGTTTTTCTGTAGATCTAGCGCTAGCGAAGCCGCGGGTTCTACTAGTATAATATAAAGAAATAAATCGCAGCTAACGTTGCCCGTGTCTCCGCCTGTGTAGGTGTTATTTATTTAACAAGAACAACTCATATTATGTCTTTCGCAGCAAAAACATAGAACTTTTTATATAAGCTTAATTTTATAAAAGTTATAAGCTTGTGATAACCTTTTACACCTCCATTATCTGGCCTTGTCGAAAAATCCGTTCTTAACTGGCGTCTCCTGCCTATAAACTGTCAGTGTAATTTTAAAATTTGAGCTTTCATAAATCAAGTAATTTTCAACTTTCAAGTTTAATTAGTAACCTTTCATTTGGTATAACATTAGCGATTTAGCTTCGCTTCGCTCGAGTGCGTCCCTAATTGCCTTCAGTAGCCGATAAATCAATTCAACGACCAGTTTTTTTCTGACTCCAATTATAATAGTAGATACCTGTCAGTAAGAAATGAAATGTATGTATGTATGTATGTATTCAGCCCTTTTAACATCCCACTGCTGGGCACAGGCCTCCCTTCATACGACGGGGATGAGGCCATAGTCCACCACGCTAGCCAAGTGCGGGTTGGCGGACTTCACATGTCTTTCGAAAACTTGCTAGGTTTTCTCAGACATGCAGGTTTCCTCACGATGTTTTCCTTCACCGTAAGGCAAGTGGTAATCATGTTAGAAATGATTCGCACATGAAAATATCAGAGGTGCGAGACCCGGGATTTGAACCCGCTTCTCACTCGGTTTCCCAAGCGAGCGCGTTACCACTGGGCTACCACTGCCTAAGAAATGAAATGAAATAAACTTTATTCAATTAGACTTATTACAAGTGATTTTGAATCGTCAATTTAATGTAAGAAGAGAATAGAAGCTACCACCGGCTCGGAAAGCACGAGAGTGTTCCAAAAATGTTTGTAGTCCAGTCATGGGTGTTTATATTTATAATATGTATGTATTTAAAGTTATATATGTATAATGTATCAACTATCTGGTATCCATAACACAAGCCTCGTAGCTTACCATGGAACTATATGGTGCTGTGTGTTAATGTCCTGACTTATTTATTTATTTAAACAACCGCATTCGTGCTTACTTGTTGACATTTCACGTATTGATAGAAGCATATTAAAGTACCTATTACTAAAACTTATATTAGGAAACCTATATACGTTTTCTTAGGAAATGACTATTCATTTTTTTAGCTACTTTATTTTGTTTTCTTTTCATTTTAAATTTAGAGCATTTGTTTTTTTATTATTAGATTATATTTGTAAGTTTCAATTTTTGATGATGTGACAAGCTGGACTTGGATCACGTAGGCTGAGAAGCCGCTTTAGCCTTCTCATTAGGTCTTTTTTTTATTTACACCCAGAACTCCCAATATCATAATTATTTTATGTTATTTTAGCTTGCTTCCCAATACAAATTTTCATCACCATTTTCACCCCTTTAAGGGATGATTTCCGGGATAAAAAGTATCGTATGTCCTTTCCAGGGTCTCAAACTATCTTCTTACCAAATCATCTAAATCTCACAAATTCATAAACTTTAGCTCTTTGTAATATTAGTATACATTTGGTGATAGTTTCGACTCGAAAATTATAGGTGACGGACAGTATGAGAAGAATTGGAAGTTTCAAATGTATTTATTTTAAACGACACGCACCAATTTCTTAATAAATGACAACAAGATATATATATATATATATATATATATATATATATATATATAACCTATTTTTATGTACATATTACAGCTTCTACAAAAGGTATCTCGTAAATAAAATCGATCAGTTAATTATAAAGCGTAATCTATATGAATTTCTCACTGCAGATAACGTTTGATCGCGTTCTGACATATATTCATCCAGAAATAGGGTCATCGGAATAACTCTGTTGGACCGTTTACGAGCCCGCGTCAGCTCGCGTCGACGGTTTGTTATTTTTACATAATCCCAACGATGTCTTCCTGTGCGTTTCACGTTAAAGATACTAGCTTTTTATGACCGAATTTTAACTGAGGTACTTATTTTTAAATGAAATGAAATGATTCAAAATCATTTTTAAATGAAATAAAATGAAAATAAATAAATGAAATGAAATTAAATAAAAAATTTGAACTGGATATTTTTTTTATTTTCACCAAGCGTAGAATAACTGCTTTATAGTCATATATATGTATACTATATTTTTCATTATATAGATAATTAAAAAAAATCTTAATAATGTGCCTGCACATTCAAAGTAAAACTTAACCACTTTTT